ATATATCTCCAAATCTTCCTCTCTTTTTTAGTGTTACCTGTTCCACATGTATGTGGGTGTAAGAGCTGGTGGTGGCATTGGAGATGAAATTGAGGATCCTGCTGGAGACCCTTATGAAATGTATCGAATTGTCTTCGACATCACATTTTTCTTCTTTGTCATTGTTATCCTACTGGCCATTATTCAAGGTAACATCACTTACCTTAGTAGAGATTGTTCAAAATTAATTTAATGAAGCTCAGCAATGGCAATGTAAACCATATTATGTTTGAGGTAAATTTAGCAGTATATATATATATATATATATATAAAGACTTATTTCTGAGCTGATAAAATCATTAATTCTGAAAGTAATAATTTTAGACTTAATTCATAAATAATGCCTTGTCCCAAGTACTACACAAAGTCAAAGCACAAGATGTTAACCTCAGTTAAGGGTCACAGATGATGCAGCTTGTGCAGGATCACTGTTCTTCCTATAATTACCATTTAAACTTGGAGAGCCTTGCTGAAGACTTTTAGCTTGGAACCGCTACAGCTGGCTGGGGAATGGAGACTTTCCCCTTGAAAAGGGTAAATGACATGAAGAAAGTCACCATGGCCACACAACCATCTCCTCCTTTCTTTAGAAGATGATTTGTAGGGTTAATTGGTTTGCGGTTTCGGTTCACAGTGAACGAGACCTCTCCTCAGTGACAGTCAGCATTCAACATTCATTGCATGAACTGACCTCAGGCTGTTAGGAAAACACTCACCACTTTATGGCTATCTGGTGGCAAAGAAAATTGTAACGCATGTCACAGTCCCCAGAATGATCCGATTCTAATCCTAATACGTTGGAAGTGCAAGAATAATGCTTCAAATGCGAAGCAGCCTCAAAAACTGGCCAAGGGGGGCTCTGGGAGCAGAGCTGTCTTTGTTGAACAAGAGTTGGGATACAAGAGTTTCATGAGTAAAGGAGTGAAAATTGAATTCATTCATGGGACAAAAGAGATGAGCTTATGGAAGGTTAAATTGACTGTAATAAAGGACAGAAAAGCCTTTTCACTTTCAAGATTGTACCTCCATGTAATAGGAATTCTTACTGCTGGGAGTGCAGTATAAAAAAACATTGGATGTCTGGAAATTGATAGATTGTAACTTGAATTGTTCAATCTAGACATAACTACAGCAAACTCTAGACAGTGGAGGACTGACATTATTTTCAATATGAATATTGCTCAGTACCAAACTGTTGCTACTTTTCAATTTGAAATAGGTCTGATTATTGATGCTTTTGGTGAATTAAGAGACCAGCAAGAACAAGTGAGGGAAGACATGGAGGTAGGAAGCACATTACATTTTTCATTACTCTTGTTCATCTAGATTATCACCAATTAAAATAGTGTTTGAGTTAAAATTCATCTGTAACCGCAACTTGTGTTTTCAGACCAAATGTTTTATTTGTGGAATCGGCAATGACTATTTTGACACAACCCCACATGGCTTTGAAACACATACATTGCAAGAACACAACTTGGCGAACTATCTGTAAGTACATTTTACAGCTGGAATTGTAGTAAAATTTTTCATGTCTAGAGTAATTTAGGTGCACACACTGCTGAAAGTTCCAAGACAGAATTCTGTAGAGCTGAGGAATATCTCCTGTCCTTTCTGGTCTCCCCTCCTCTACTCCACACTGCTGGTGATCTTTAAAGTGCTTACCTTACACATGTGTCACCTTAGTAGAATGAGACTCGAAGGCAGACCAACTTCTTATTCTGCTGGAAGGAAACCCAGATATGTGGAAAGATGGGGGACAACAGTTTAATGAGTTGCTTTAGTCTGGAAGTTTTGGTTGTGCCTTCTGGAGGCTTGGTAACACTGATGAGACCATTGAAAATTGGCCTTGATTTGACAAAAAGAAAACCCAAACCAAAACAAAGCAAAAAAGGGCATTTTTTGAAGGTTATTGAAAGATAACCACCAGTAAATAAATAACAGCTCTGATCATCTAGTTCTTTAGTGACAGTGAAGCTCTTCAAACCTTGAAGCAATCAGGAGTTGTAAATGTTTAGGCTATTGCCCAGACTACCAAGACAGTGATTTTCCACCTTCATTAGCAAATATAGAGCAGACCAAAGAGGATATTTAAACAGTTAATTTGGCGGCATTAGTTACTAATACAAGGACGATAATTACATGAGCATTGTGCCAGCAAAACCAAAGGAGCTGAGCTGGTGGACTCTTAAAGCAGACCGACTTTGCAACACTGCATCTGAACTTTTTAAATTTAAAAAAAAAAACAAAACCAAACTGTGCCTCTGGGAGTGGAGGCTGCCTTATTCCTTGCATAGCAACTGACATTGGCAAAATCAATTGCCTTACATGATGTAAATTTCCAGTAACATCCATGGTTCTACAGTCTACAACCACCAAACTTTTCTTACTATATTGAACTGCTTAACTGGTACATGGGAACCTCTAATTCACAGTAAATGAAAAGTAGACATTTCCTTAATATTAGAATACATAGTGAACGATCTTTTTACCCAGGTTGCCCTTTAATTAGTCAACTGTTAAAATCAGCGTACTTTCCTTTCTTCACAACAAAAGCACATACTAAATCTAATTCCAAATGCACTGCATCCAAACTGTCCAACCAAGAGCTGTGTTACCTGTAAACAGACCTTAGTTGGTGCTCTACAGTCCTCCTTAATTAGTTCAAGCTTTCAACATCTGACAGAGCATAGGTGTTGGAGAAGGAGAGGCTCAGCTTACAAGCTGTATGGCATGAATGTCTGGAATTCCTGGTGCAGCTCAGTATTTACCACACTTCTCACATAGTAGCCATCGTAACTTTTTCCAAGGTGAGATGTTGGAGCATATGTGCATAGGATTTGCCTAATTCAGGTATTGCTCCTCACACTGAAATGAATAAGATGATAAGCCATATTTTTCTACTTCTACAGATTTTTTATCTGTTAGCACTTGCACAGGAGATATGCTTCAGGACATAATTTTATCCCTTAAAATAGGCACTTTACTTGTCTAGCAGTGTCACTGCTTATAGTGTGAGGCAAGCTTCCTCACACACCCCAGGCTACAGAAGGTCAGGCAGAGATGTTATGTTTCCCGCATTAATACCTGCTTCATGTGCTTGTTTCAGGTTCTTCTTAATGTATCTAATTAACAAGGATGAAACTGAGCATACTGGCCAGGTGAGTAGAAAATAAAACTTAACTGTTTTTTTTTATCTTTAAACATTTTTATCTTCTTGAGCCTTGTAGCTGTGTACCACCAGGTGGAACTGATGTACCACTGAGGAGTGTGGATGATGCCACCCTCAAAGGGTCTACTGCCAGTGAAAGAAAAGAAGGGTTAAAACAAAACCAGAGGGGGGTGGGGTGCTGCAGTGTGCTATTTTACTGAGCAGTGAATGCTGTCAGAAGTCAGGTACTAGTAATGTTACTGTCATCTTTGAAATGAAAACCTCAAATGTACCAGTTACAATTTATTCCCAAAAGATTTAGGCAGTTAAGGTACTATTTCTATAGTAAAAATCCATACATATGTGTAGATAGATAGGTATATGGGTGTCTGTATGTTTAGCATTGTTAAGCCTAAATGTAAATAAATAAGAAAATAAATAGGATTTAATTATATCTTATCTCTAATAAGAAGTTGTTAGGCATAGAGTACAAAAGTACCTTTGTTTTCCAATCAATGCAAAACACATTTTATATATACAGATAGTGAATAGGTTTGTTCTGATATAACTGGACTGATTAATTTACACTTACGTTTTTTACTAATAGATTTAAATTTCAGTAGTACTGAATCAAGAAAAGTGCAGATAAAACTTTTACAAACATTTTTCAGTTATGATCTTCAGAGTTCCAGTGCCTTTACAGTTCTATTCCATGGAAATAGGCACAGTATGTGGTTATTTTTAAAAATTTTTCTATGGCACTAACTGTATGCTGACTGTTAAAATAAATACTCTTTTTCATTTTCAGGAGTCATTTGTGTGGAAGATGTACCAAGAAAGATGTTGGGATTTTTTCCCAGCAGGGGACTGCTTTCGAAAACAGTATGAGGATCAACTTGGCTAATATAAAAAAAAAATTATTTATTCATGAACTATTAAGATAAAAAAAAAAGAAATTTATTCTTTTCATGGTGCAATTTCACAGCTTGTATTTGCTTTAAATGTCTTTAAACTTCAAGACACACATAAAATTTGACACTATTTCAGAGGCTTTTTGTACCTACCACATGTGAAACAGGTCTTTTGTTGGAATTTTAATTAGAAAAGAGAAAACTATGCCTGATTAACTTAAGCCTTCCAGTTCAAACATGGCCTAAAATTATAACAACTTTTTAACCACATCATTAACCTGGTGTTTGGCAGTAAGTTGAAAGGGCTAAAAGGCATCTTAATTGCACATTTGACATTGAAGAACTTGAACATCAGAGGCCATGCCTCAGAAAAATAGTTCAGCTAACTGCTGTCCAGTTTTTCCCCACAGTATTTGCTAGTGAATGTATTAAGATACAGTCTGAAAAGCTTTAAGCAGTTAAAAAGAAATCATTTTCAAACATTTTGTCAACCTTGAAACATTAAAGTGCCTTAAAACCTCTGTAGACATAGCTATGCAATCTTTTTATTTATGTTGATGTTCTAGATGAACAAACCCATTAACTGTATTGCTTTTCTGTCTTTCTGTATCAAATTACACTTGAAGTTAGTTAATATACTACCTTCAATAACAGCTTATTAGATGCTGCTGTTAAAAGACATAACACTGTATCAAAATGAACACAGTTTAAATCTTAGGCCAAAATAAAACAATGCTCTACAGTCACCTGCAAGTAGAAGTTGTTAGGATTATGCATTCTTTTTTCTCCTAATAAAAGTGCCCACTGCAATAAAGTATATAAACCAAACCGTTGCTGTCATCTTTGCCATTTTTCTACAATATGGAGTTGTGTGAGAATGGTGACTAAAAACACATGTATTCACTGTTCAGTCATGGCTTTATTTTAAGGACTACATAGAGCAAGTACAAGCTGCAATAACTGTTCTCTTAGCCTGCTTCTTTAGCAAAGAAAATTCCAATTTCATCACAAATTTTAGACCTTTCTAATAATGTTATTAGTCTTTGACAATTTTCAATCCCACCTAAATTAATTTTGGTTGCACAAAATTTTAGAAGCCAGCATACTGGTACACTGAACAAAGTGAAACAGAGAAAGGAAATAAAAAAATAAAGAAAAGTTCAACTTTTTATGTAATGTTTGCTATATTCAATTATTCACATGAGGAAATTTGAGCTTCAGGAGATCATGCTGTCCAGCCAATCTTCAAGCTCTTCCTCAGTAACATCTTTAGATGTACTTTGCTGTTGCTGTGATGATGTACTCTTCTCTTCAGGCATATCTACTTTCAAAGGGTCTAGAAAAGTGAAAAGAACAGACTTGATAATCTGGAAACAATTCTATATCAGCTTTTTGTCCTGGGTCATTTTGCTTTTTAATACACAACTGACTGCATTTAAACACAATCTCTCTTTCTTGAAGAACAGCAAATCATATTCCAAAAATAGTTTCCATGCTAAACTTACTTTTATAAAATCAATGCTAGAAAAGTTTGAAAATAGCATTTATGACAAGCCTTTGGAAATAGCTGTCAATTGTTCTGTATACTATTAGTACAGTGAACTAATAACTGATAATGTTACACGTACTTTATCTTCCTTGCAAAAAATTCTCTAGCAGTACACTACTTATTTTTTTCAATTTAAAATTTTGCTGAATCATAAGCCCAATGCTGTTTTGCAGAAGAATTTCTTTTAATGCTTAAAGCGTACTGACAGTGGTGAAACTTTAGTTCATGAGGATTTAAAACTGAAAATGAACAAAAGCACCAGATAAATGAAATGCAGTATGAAAGAGATGAAGACAGCAGTATTGTTGAGTGGCTAATCAAGAATTCAAAAACAGAGAGCAGTGGAAATTAAATAAGAGCACGCTGGGGAGAAAACTTACCACTTTCCTTACAATCCATTTTCAAATCTTTCTCAGTTGATATGTTGTAGGATAATGTGCCTGACACAGGTCTGTTTCCTGTACTCATGGGAGCCTCTAGATTCAGGAGAAGATCCAGTTCTTCATCCAAATGGTCAGTCTCTTGCTTTGATAGTGGGTGGATTCTTTGAAATGGTTCTCTTGCATTTGCCTTAGAGCTGTTTTTACTTCCAGGCTCTGATGTAGCAACAGAATTACCAACAGGAGGGGAGACCAATACGGTGTCACTTTGAGCTGGAAACTGTCGGAACAGCTGATCTCTTCTCTTGACATCTTCAAAAATTTTAGATTTCATCTGTGGGAGCTCTACAGGTGTTGATGCCTAAGAGTATAAGAAAGGACTTGAGTCTTTATAATGATTATTATCTAATTTTATTATTCTGTCTAATTTGGATTGTAATTCATACTTCCTATATTTGATCACTTCAGAAGATACAGTGAACTTGAGCAGAATTCAGTTCAGAAGTGAAAGTAAAGTTATCTGGATGATACTTTTACAGAAGCAAATGCATAATACAAAGTCCTTTTATCCCTTATTACAGAATATGAGATGGTATGCTAAATCAGCAAATTCCATTGTTTCACAAATACTCATAGAATCATCAAATAGTTTGGTTTGGAAAGGACCTTAAAGATCCAACATCCTTGACATGGGCAGGGACACCTTCTACTAGACCAGGTTGCTCAGAGCCCCATCCAACCTGGCCCTGAACACTTCCAGGGATGGGGAGAACACAGCTTCTCAGGGAAAGCTGTTCCAGTGTCTCACCACTGTGACAGTAAAGAACTTCTTCCCAATATCTAATCTAAACCTACCCTCCTTCAGCTTAAAGCCATTCCCCTTGTGCTATCCATACATGTCCTTTTGAAAAGTCTCTCTCCAGCTATCTTGTAGGCTCGCTAAAGGTACTGGAAGGCTGCTATAAGGTCTTCCCACAGCTTTTTCTTCTTCAGGCTGAACAGTCCCAACTCTCTTAGCCTGTCTTCAGGCTCCAGCCCTGTGATCAATTTAGTGGCCCCCCTCTGGACTCACTCTAACAGATCCATGTCTTTTCCTGTTGGGCGCCCCAGAGCTGGATGCAGTACTCCAGGTGGGGTCTCATAAGAGCAAAGTAGAGAGGGAGAATCAGCTCCCTCAACCTGCTGGTCAGGTCTCCTTTGAAACATGGTGTGCATTGGAGAGTCACGTTGAGCTTCTTGTCCACAAACACCCCCAAGTCCTTCTCCTTGGGGCTGGTCTTAATCCATTCTCTGCCCAGCTTGTATCCATGTTTGGGATTGCCCTGACCCAGGGGCAGGACCTTGCACTTGGCCTTGTTGAATTTCATGAGGTTCACAGACCCACCCCTCAAGCCTGTCAAGATCCCTCTGGATGGCCCATCCCTTCCCTCCAGCGTGTCAAACACATCACACATCTTGGTGTCACCAGCCAACTTGCTGAGGGTTCGCTCGGTCCATGTCACTGACAAAGATGTTAAACAGTGCTGGTCCCAGTAGTGACCCCTGAGGAACACCATTTGTCACTGATCTCCACTTGGACATGAGCTGTTGACCACAACTCTTTGTGTGTGACCATCCAGCCAATTTTTTTTCCACTGAGTGGTCCATGTAATAAAATCCATGTCTCTCCAGTTTAGAGACAAAGATGTAGTGTGGGACAGCATTAAATTCCACTTCCTGGAAAATTACTTTTCCTTAATTCTTCTGTAATGAAATCCCATCAATACTCTGAATTTTGGAATAACTGGAGTCAGAATTTGGCTAGAAACATCATCCCATGTTAGGCCATCCCTCCAAAATTCTAATCTTGAACAAAACCATACTACAGGTTGCTGAAAATCAATTAGCCAGTGTTATAGTATATAGCCATATATTTTTCAAAATGAAACTAAACTGTAAAACATTGTCAAACAGTGAAACCAGAAATGGCAACTCCTTATTTAACTGTGTAACAGATTCAGCTTTTATCAGGATGCCCTAGTGTTGATAACATTGCAGCATAACTGATGACCACATCCCTGGTCAGAATGACAAGACAAATATTAAATGCCATAACAAACAATTTATAACCCTGAAAAAAGTTACAGACCATGACTAGAACTCCTAAAAAGAAAACTGTATGTGAAAGTAACATTTATTTGCCGATTCCCTTAGCCATCACATCTGCAGGCATACCGAGCTGCTTTAACAAAGAGCATAGTGTCAGCTGCAGAAGCACTTCATGCAACCCCAAACAGACCCTTCTGTAAGGGTCACGTTTTTCCTTGCTTGAGCAGATGGATCTTAAGAACTTTGTTTTTATATTTAACTCTCATTGGCTCTTTTGCGCTTACATTAATATTTTCTTTTTCACAATCTGAAGAAATATTTTTTAATAATATTGTTGCTTCCCCCTGCCAGTGAAACATAAATAATATTTTCTTCACCCGTATGATTGACAGTTCTACCTGTTCTAACACTGATGTAAGACCAATTCATGTAAAAAACCATGTATTTGATATGTATTTATGCAGAACATTAAATCACAATTAAAGTAATTAACAGGAAAGAACGTGAAAACACTTTCAAAATTTTGGTGCAACTAAAACCAGCTGCTAACAAAAGAAAAAAATACAAAAATAGTGCAATCATTCCATGTCAAACACTCTGATACCTGAATTCAAATCTAATATGCTGCACATTCAACCATTTTGTTTAAAGTCAAGTAAGCACAAAAAACGTGCCGATGGAGGGGTATCCTGCATTACATGCCACTTGACATGCCAGTCTAACAGAATATATTTACTTACATAATACACTGTACTTACGTTTGAAGACTAATCATTCTTGCATAGATTTTTCTCTTAAAATATTTGCATTTCCTAGTGTTAATTCACAGCATTACCTGTACAAGGTCAGCAGTTACATTCAATTTCAGATGTAGAGGCAATTCCTGAAGGGCCTGGACCAAAGACTGGCAGTCAATAGAAAGTGCAGAGAACTGAAATATAATTTAACACACAGTATACTTGTGAATAAAAAAACCAAACACAAAAAGAACACAAACAAAAAAATCTAATAATTTTAATCTATTACATTCCCCTGTTCCACTTATTTGAGGAATCTGGAAAACAATCTAATGAAATACACAAATTAATAGTTTAAATTACACTTGTATGGAGCAGTTTGGCTAAATTACCATATAAACACTTACACTGCAAATAATAACTTACAGCTAAAAAACAAGTTGTAAACTGAATACTCCTTAGACAATGCCTTGAAAGTCCAAAATCGGAAATAGTTCAGAATAGTTCAGTCACTCTTAGGACAATGTCATAAGAAGCTTTTCCAACTGAAACATGTTTTAAACTGTGAAGCTTTCATGAGGTTTGAAATGACATTCTTTAGTGAGTTGCTACTGTTTTCTAAGCAATCAACCCATAGCTCCTGTGTAGCTATATTGTTTTTAATGGCTAAACAGGGGCCTTTTTATGGTTCCAGATTTTTAAAAATGTTTTGATAATTACAAAAGCAACAAAGTATATAGTTACAAACACTTCTAAAATTATATTCAATTATACTGCTGCTAATTTACAACTTATTACTGTGACAGTTACTGAAGCTCCATTTTCTCTTGACCCCTTTTTAAAAACAGATTTACACAAAATGAACCAGCAATATTTGACATTTTTACATAACAACCCGGACTTCAGTAATCTTAAACAGATTTCAAGCTCACAGTATAGAAGAACATTCTGAGCACATTCACTGTTGATGAAAAAATAATTTGATATCCATCACGTATTTTAAAATCTGATAACAAAATGCTTAGGTTCAGTCTATACTCTCATTTTCATGGAAGCAGAGAAGCAGCTTCCAAATCTCACTTAAAGGGATAAAATCTTGTCCTTCTCAATATGATGTAGACTGGCACAGACGTTTAGAAGTCCAAATACTCATAAATTAGGAGAGAGTGTTTTGTGCCGTATCATAAGAGAGTTGTCAAAGAAATTGACAGTGCTTCCAAAAGCCAGTCAATAGGATGGCTTTTGAGATTTGCACCCCTAGCAAAAATAAATCAAAGACATAGTGTGTTCTGACAGTATACCTGCAAAATTAAAATAAATTAAAAAAAAAGAAGCAATGCAGTTGATTTAACAGTTTCTTTTATCCAAATTCTGGTTCTGGTATCCAGTAATAAGAGTGAAAGGATCAAACAAATATCTGATGGTTAGAATTTTTCTCCTTTACCAACAACTTTATTTTACAATGCATTGGTGATCACCATCAAAGATGATTCACTGGTGCAAGTAACCTCACAAAGTTTTCAGCAAGCAAGCCTTGTTGCCCAGCAATGAATCAGATCTTCAGAAAACCCAGTTATTTTGACAGATATTGAAGATCAAATATGGCTTCTGCACAGTTACAAAAGACAAGGAAATTGTATGAATCTGGTAACAAAAAATTGTAAAAAGTGAAGTGTCACTGAATAGCATTTAAGTGCATTTGAGAAGAGCTATGTAACTTGCAAAAATATTAACAAGAATGAACATTGCAAATGAAGGTTAAAATTAGAGATAGGGAAGAGTTGAGAATGAAGGAAAAGAGGAATTTGGAAAAACAACATAATAGAAGAAGGAATTTGATATTCGAGACTTCACTAAAAGTGGTGTTGTAATAAAATGCAAAGGAATCAAAGCAGTATTTAATAAATTATGAACACTTCATGGCACATGTAGTTATTTGTTCAAAAAAATAAACAGAGGTATACTTTGTCGCTGGAATTGCTATTTTTTACTGAAAAATCCAAATTACTATTACCTGTTTGATCTTTCAATTGCAGACTATGTTCTGAAATGGTTTTATTATATTTTATCAATATACAATGGAGAAAATCCAAATATACTTTTTGTAGCAATGAATGATAGTATTGTTAATAAAATGAATTTTTTTTATTGTTGATGTCACTGTTACATTTCCATTCCTCATTTGAAACTGATGCTTTGCCATTGCTTTCTACAAACAGTAGGGAATGAGAAATATCTAGTCATTCTGCAACTATTTTTATATCTTTTCTCTTTATTTTGTTCCCTCATAATAAATTCACTTCAGTTTACAATTCTCTAATCCTGTACATAATGTATAGAAGGCAAAGAATTAGAGAGATGTGAACTAAGAAGCAAAGACCAGGAATTTGGCAAATGGTATGAATGATGTAGGGTGAAAATTAGACTTGGATTTGGCTTTTGGGGAAAAAGATGGGTCAGAAACAAAAGGAGATACCAGGTTAAAGACCAAAGAAAATGTGAAAAATTTGATATTATCAATCCAGTCCCATCTGGGACTGGATTCTGGACTAAAATAAGAACTCAAAGGAAGGGTAATTGTGACTAGTGCAGTAAACTATTTCAAAGTGACATAAGGACAGTGAAAGACAGGAAACAGTTTGAAATAATGACTTTGGATGGGGCAGAATGAATTACTACAGTTTCCTAGGGACAGAGGTAGAAGAACGTGCCTACCACAGCACACTTTGCAATGAGTAAGAGCACGGGACCAGCTCCAGAACTGTGCAGTCTCATCACTGGCAGTCAGAAGAATATTTGTGAAAACCACTGTCAACACACAATTTCACTCTTCTCACAATGGCTTTAGCCATTCAGGAATTAATGTGTTCAATTCACCTAAATGCTATAATACAAGACTATGAGGAAATAAAAAAGAAATTAATATTCTGATTACTGACAACATCCTGCACACTAGAAGCAGAAGAACTGATAAGAAAAAATACAGTCATTGAAAGATAGGTGGTGGTTTAAACAAATGCTGCATTTGGTTTTATTTCCTCACTTTAATTTGACTTTGCAACCCTAAAGTACCTTTAAATATCACTTCCCAGGGTATAATTAATGTAATATTTTAGAATATTGTAATATTTTAGAATATTGTAATATTTTAGAA